TCCTTTCAGTTGGTCTGTATCATGTTTTTGAAAGCAGTAGGAATTTAGAAAAACAATTAAACTATCGGTGTGATATTAAAATGCATTATTTTAAACATAGACAGTAATGAGTTTAGAAGTTATGAGTCCTCAAAATTCTATTAACTCATTTCCAGATGGATAAACAGAAATGCACAAACCAGACTAACTTGCAGGGAGTAACAGGACATGAGCCTGAAGGCCTGCCCTGTACGTGTGTCTCACGTTGACTCAAAAGATCCCTAGGCAGAATTTGTTATCTGAGAAAGTGAAAGTAGACAATTTATTGCAGCTAGATCCTCAAAAACAGATTCACAATTATCAAATAACAGAATCTGTTAGTTTTGCTGCCTTCAGTAAAATATCTGATCTCCATGGAAATAGGATTACAGGAGAAACCATATTAGATTAGGGTTCATCTGGCTCAATTTCCTGTCTTTGACAATAGCCAGTACTACAGAGGAGGGTGGCACAAATAGAGTATTGAATGTGCATAATTTTTCAGTCTAAATGTATGGAATCTGACTGTAAAATCATCCTGTTTTTCTCCCGCTCTATGTTTCGTCCTTTCAATTTCCTCTTATATATCTTTGGCCCTTTGTCTCCTCAAGTGTGATGCTTTTAACATTTTGGGCTTTACCGGGAAAATGATTGAATATTTGAACTATCTCTGAGTCATATGATGCTGGTTAAATGGTGTCTGGAGTATAAAAACTTGGCAGAGTGCATTTTTTGAGGCTTGAGCTTTGCCTACTCACTTGGAGTTCTGTTGTGGCTACGATGCCAATACCAATACAATGTAGTTTACTATTTTGGATCTGTAGACTAGTAACTCATAAAGTCCCACTAAAATTTCCTCTACATTTAAAGAGTCAATAATCTTTCACTGAACTAAATTCAGGACAGATAAATAATGGTGAATACATTTCCTGAACACAGTATCTAGTGCTACCTGATAACCCATATCTCAAAACTTCCCTCAGAGTTCCTTTTTATGTCTGGGCCCTGTTGTTTGGTAGTGACTGATGGCTGTAAACTAATCAGTGTGAGGTGCCAGTGAGGAGGTCAGAAATCTGCTACAGATGTTGTTTGCAATGCAAAAGACCTTCTTGCCTCAACTTAGGACAAGTTATGCTGGAAACCAAAACTTCCATTTTTGCCACAGCTCCAGGCATCGCTCCTCCCCAAGGAACTAAAGGTAATATTTGTGGGTTTTACTGTAATTATTTTTATTCAGTGGGAAACCCAAGTGAAACAGACAGTGGCTGGATGTGTAGGTACTTAGGATACACAAAAATATTCTCACTTTTGGACACTCTTTGAGACCCTTTCTTTTGGGTCATTTTGGGTTTTATGGGCCGGGTGCAGAATGTTTTTTGGTTTTTTTTTTTTTTTTGTAGGCTCCTATAGCAAGCATTTGACCCAAAGCATATGGAAGAACTGCCCCTGTGTTTGCATTGAGACCTCATTGATCAGTAGTTTAACAAAGAACAAAGAGACCATGGTGCACTCACTGGGAGCTGTAGTACCACTTGCCCAAGCAGCACACTGGTTAATTGTACGCAGCAGGACATCTTATGTGCTGCCAAAAGATGTTGGAGTAGCTATGAAATAGTGACTTGAAGGGTTAGTAACAAATCAGTATTACCTTCTGGGCTTAGGCTGAGGAGAAAGGGCAGCTCCTTATGGATTTTGTTTTGTTCTCCCTAAATAAAACCTCTAGATCCAACAGGGTAATGTTTTGTCTTACCAATGCATCTGTTTCTTTCTTGGTAAATAATATTTTAATTCCATGTGTAGCTAATGTTTTAAAGATAAGTCATTAAAGAAACAAATTTTAATTCTAGATTTCCACAGACTTATTAGGATTATAATGAATTAAAACATAATGAAAAATAGCCTGATTAAGGTTATTAAGAGGTTATATCATCTTTAAGCCGTACCTCTGTTGAAAGAGGCTCATGAAAGGAGGAGTGTCTGTCAGCTGAGACATATGCAATTTGATTAAAAGCGTGAAAAGAAGTGCAAATACTTCTCCACCTGGAAGGATAAAAGACAAAGATTTACAGTCACTGAATGTGCCAAAAACTCCTTGTCTTCTGTGCCACTCAGTGTTGAGAATGTCCAATTCATTTTTCATGTCCAGCTACAAATGAAATAGGGAGAAATTACTGTGATTTCTTCAGATGTTTGAATATTAGCAAATATTTGGAATGAAAACTATTAACACATCAGAAATGAGAGGCTTTTAAAATGGAGAACAGGAAGCTGGTTATTGTCTGATAGATTTTTCCAGGATCCTTATATTGTGCTGAAGCAAAGGGAAATTAGTGAAAATCCACTAAACCAGCCATTCTGCTGTGCATGCAGAAAGCCAGAATTCCTTATCAAGCCTCATAATACCTCATCCATATATTAGAGCTTGCCAAATAAACTAATAGTTACATCAGTCCTGCAGCTGTTTTCAGGAGGCCACAGCTCCCTGAACCTGAAACTTTGACTGCTGACAACAAGTTGCTTGAAGCAGAAATGTTATTGAGAAGCCACCTTCCCTGTAGCATCCCTGCTCCTGCTGCCACGTCCAGCTTGGTGCCTCCATCTGCCCGGTGTACCGTGGGGCAGCAGTGCCAGCAGGCTCTGTCCACGAGGTCCAGGATGCTGCTGAGCTTCTCATCAAACACCCTGTGCTGCAGGGACTCTTTCCTCCAAGCGCTGCAGACAGCCCTGACTGTGAGTTTGACAGGCGTGCACTTGCCTATGTTTATAATGAAGATGCTGTTGGCAGACCCTCCACAGGTTGGGTAAGGTGATTTCTTTAGCCAGAGATTTACAAGATTTTGCAGAAAAGCATCCTCAGCTTTTTCAGCATTTTTTTAGATGATGCCATAATGCAGTCATTGCCAATATTCAGCTTTGGGAAAGGCTCCTGAAATATTTTTAGCCTCTGACTCTTCTCTCTGCACTTAGAAATATCCTTTATAAAGTAATATCCTTTATAAAGTACTAGAAGAACTAGATATTTACTGGACCCCATACACTGCCAAATCTATCTTCCTCTGTTTACATTTCCTTATCTATTTTTGTGTTTATTACTCTAGGCCACCAATTGTAGGAGTTGCATGTTGTGAGATACAGATACAATGCATTCCCTTGAGGGACAGAGTACAAAAGTAAGTTGCTTACTTTTTTTACTCCATTTGTGAACTATTTTCTTCTGTAAATAATTACTATTGAAGCAATTCACTCTTTCCCTTTGTAGCTGTGCCTGATGTTTACTGAAGCTGAAATGCAAACACATTATTCATACCTCTTCCTAAAGTCTTCATGCATTCATTCTAGTATCCTAGCATTTAGTTGAACTAGGATATCAGACCATGTTTGAAAGTGATTTAATTCTGATTTTTCAGTGTACTTCCAAAAAAGCTACCTTTTACCCACATTAATGTAAGATGTGGAGGCAGGAGACAGAGAAGCTGCCATACAGGAAGAGTTGCCCTGTGCTTGTGACTTAGATGTAATATCTTATAGCTTATGCACTGTAGGTAAATCATTCATAGTTGTGCTTGACCAGTTGTGCAACATCTTATCTGAAGGAGAAAAATTACCTTCTGACTCCCACAGAGTATCATTTTCTGCCCTAATGCATGAGAAAACTCTACTGCTTTTTGCTTAAAGAAATAATTTTTTCCTTCCAATCTTCTACTTTATTCAATTGAAATTAAGTATTTTCTGGAGTGCCCAACAATTCAAGAATGCATTTTTACTTGGCCTTGGAGCTGGCACTTTTGGTGCATTCTGTGTAATTGCAGAACTTTGTTTATGAAAATGTTGTTTGCTTTTGTCTACCAAGGGTGGCATCCAGGAATGCTACATTTATGGCTTAAACACCAAAAGACTTTGAAACGCTAAAGATGAGAGTACACTTTATTGTAAGCATGACAGTAGCAAGTTAAAAAACTTTTTCATCTTTAGCCCTCAATGGTGGCATGCTGCTCTAGCTATAGGATAGGCTGAGCAGGGGTAGGGAGCTGTGATGTTCCAGCTGTGCTCCTGTAACTCAGATATTTGCAGCTGACATAACTAGTCCTCTCAGCTATTCTGTGCTGCAGGAAAAACAGTCAAGATAGCTGCTGTCTAGGCACCATGACTGACTGCCATGGATTGATCACATAGCATCTCTTTTTTAGCAGCATTATTCACATGAATTACTAACTTCAGCCATGAAGCCATGCAGTGGATTGCACAAGTCTGTTATCTCACATAATAAATTAGGTTTAGTAAACCAAGCCTTAAAATAACTGTCTCATTTGAAACTCAGTCTTAGGTTTTCAGGTCATAATTTTTTACAAATTAACCTGAAAACACTTCTGGCATGAATAATGTTGAGAATGATGTACATTTCCCTTGCTATGGGCTAAATCTTCCATCCTGCCAACTGTGCCTGTGAGGGATGTGGATGCAGGGTAAAGCAGAAATGCCTTGCACCCACAGCTCCCAGCCTGGTATCTGTGTGCACTGCTAAGCCTTGGTGCCAGGAGAGGGACACTCTGCTCTCACAGAATTTCCCAGTTTTTTTCTCTACATCTCCCTTCAGCTGGGTGAAGGGTGGAAAAAAATACACTTCCTTTATCCTCAACACCTTTCAAGTGATGCAAATCTGGAGTGTAACTAAGCTGTTTTTTCTTCTTCCAGCTGCTGGGTTTGCTCTGAGTGCATCAGTCCAGAGAGATCTGCAGAGGAGAACGAAGGCAGGGACTCGTGCACATGTGAAGTTTCTGTCTCCAAGTGGCCTTTGGGTCCACAGAACCAGAAAAGTCCTTTCATGGTAGGTCCTGGATTATAGAGTTTTGTTTTACAGAATAAACAAACACAAAGCATTTTAGGTAGTGTTAGACACAGGGTGACATTAAAAAGCTCTCCACCTGCAGTCTAGTTAACATACTTAGTGTCACACAATTAGGCTTGTTAAAAATATTTAAAAGCCTGGAAGACTCAGCACATCTGCTTCCTCACATAGGAAAGCACTCAGAAGGAAAACTGCAAAATATTTTGTTTAGCATGAGGTAAAAACTCCTTAATTCTAATATCAAAGACCAGATACTCCTTCAGTGAAATAGTTGTTCATTTTGTTGTACTGCTTGTGCAGAATATATTTGCTCAGGCTACCAACAAGGTAATCTCTTTGAGTTTTGGCTTGCATTTTATTAAGACCTGAATCAAGACTACTAATTTATTTCACTCAGGCCAGCAAGGACAACTGCCTTCATAACTGTACTGGCTGATAAAACATAGGAGACTTGGAGCAGTATATAAGAAAAAAACTTAGATGAGATGATATTCCATGAAACACAGCCATTTTTGATAAAATTGCTAATGCAGAATCTGATTTTGTTGGCTTCAGGAATGTTTCTAGAAAAGCCAACTCAGTATGTCTCTTTCTAACCTAAAATTAGGACTGGAATGATAATATCGTGATTTTCCTGTTATATAATAGTGACATAACAGTGTGACAGAAAGTGACATAGCCACATAAAGAAAGACCATTTTTTCCTAATCTACCAAAATGTGTCATGTCAACCAAAAAAAAAAGTATTTTAACTAAATTTATGGGAAAAAAAATCTCCTTGGAAAATAATGTCAGGATATAGTCATGAGGGAAAGACACAAGAAGGAACTAGAAGCTGTTTAATAAAGGAGAATAATAAAAAGAAAAAGCATGATGACTTACAGAGGGTTAATGTATGCATGTGGGTGGATTTTCAGACCTCATAGCAGAAATTGGTTTACTTTTCCTGTACTTTAGTTAAAGAAAATGCATGTGATGCTTGCAACATAAAGAAAACTCAAGATCAAAAAAAAAAAAGAGCAAGAAAACTGGTAAAATTTAACAAATTTAGCTGAAAGATCAGGATAATGGCTCAGTGTTGACAAATGTAACGTAAGAAAGAATAATTTAAGCCATCAAAATACATCATTATTGTCACTCAAGAGGAGACCTGTGCCTGCTACTGGATGGTTCAATGGAAGTCTCTGCTCTGTATAGAGTAAGGGTCAAAGATGCAAGCAAACTGTTAGGATACAAAAGGATTGGGAGAGAAATAATGCCCAAAAATCTTATAATGTCATTAAATAAATCAGTGGTATGCCCTGACCTGGAGTACTGTACTCAGTTGTGGTTATCCTGCCTTGAAGAGAATGTATCATAAATAGAAGAAGTATAGAGATGGGCAGAGTAATTGATTAGAAGCATGAAAAACTCTTAATTTCAAGACAAATTAAAAAGTTTAACTTTTTTTTACATGAGAGTGAAGATGAACTATATGGGTCACTAATAATAATGGGTACACAGTGTATGAGAGGTCATTCATTAATAAGACAACAAGAAAAAGTGCAATGAAGTTATCAATTATTGCAATTAATAATTAATTATTAATTTTTCTCTGGAGCTCAGTGCAACTTGGTGGCCAAGACTTCAGCTGAATGTTGAGTTCTGTTGGATATGTATTTAAATAAATACATCACCTATGCTGAAGTCCACAAGATCTAAAAGTGTTTTTGAGTTACAGGCTACCATAAGGGTGACCATTCACCAAATTATAAAGAGAATTAAGAAGAAATCTTTCCTGTGGGCAGATTATTTCATAAATGCTTACTGCAGGGTTTCTGACACCTCTCCCTGAAACACACCTGGTACAGGCCACTGTCAGAGGGCATATCAGAGGAGATGGACCACTGCTCTGATCCAGTGTGTCAATTCCTATGTTGAATCAATGATACAGAGATGAAAGGTTCGATATCCTATTATCAGTCTCTTGAACCATCAAATTCTCCTCCTCTTCCCCATTCAGCTATTGATTAAATTAAATGCAGCAAGGTAAATGGGGACAGGAAAGAAATTCCTTATCTTAGCAGAGCTCTTTGTCTATGTTCTTTAGTCTGAATTATAAGGAGATGGTAACCCCAAACTACTGAGGAATCTGTATACTAGATTTTTTCACAGCAGCCTGTCCACACAAAGATCCCACTATATGGTTATTATTTTTAAGGCCATTTAAATTTTTATTATTTTTAGATATATAAGTATGCATTTTCTGCTCATTACATGCTGCATTTCTGGAGCAAAAAAGAGGTACAAAGAGACTGTGAAGGACAAACCCCCACCATTCATCTGTATACATGTGCCATGCTGACTGCTGTATGTTTTGGAAAGATCCTCTGTAGATTCACCAATCTAAAGAAATAATGAGCTTAAAGCAGTGGAACCTCTGAAAACAGCTGGCAGTTGGATAATGATGGATATGCTACAGAACCAGAGATCTTGGTGGTGGAGGATGAATGATGCATATAATGAAAAGGAGGCTGAAGCCGATCACCTTCCCTGTTAGTATAAACACGTAAAATGCAATTCACTGTGATGATGGTGGTGGTGCATTGCATAATAAATTATGTGTCTGGATCATAAAGGCAATATTTTATGATAGAAAAGTTTAATAGAAAATGTATGTAAATGAGTGTAACTTGCCCAATGATGCTTTTTGACTTGAGTGTAAGAGGAGAAAATAATTTCTTCTCTAGCACATTTGCAAGTTGAACAGAAAAATGCCTGCGAGTTCCACTTTCCAATTTCACTCACATTTTCAGACATAGAGGGATAATAGATTAGTAAAGAGTTGTGTTTTATTGCTGTAAAGCTCAACATTCTGCAAAATTTTTGAAAGTGCTATGAGTGAAAGTTAGTGGTGAGGAAAATGTGGAAATTGCTGATTAATAAAGGAGCAGGACCCAGCCAAATCCTGTTCCAAAATTTCCAGGGTTTTGCATAGGCTTAAAATTAACCTGGAGGACCATAAATGATGATTATCCTAGCAGAGAAGGTTTAATGAGCAGAGAGCTCCAGTGGGGAGGAAAATACCCAGGCAGACAAATAAACAAAATGCTGAACAGTAAGACCCTGGTGAGAGCCAGGAATGCTCTTGTGTTTGCCACAGGCTGCAGAGGTGCCCAGCCAGGCACCAACCACACCCTCGGGCACGTGCTGGGTTCCTACCCTGGCCCTGGGCAGGACCCGGAGCTGGACTTTGATAATCCTTGCTGGGGCTCTTCCAGCTCTTGGTAGGACTCTTCTAAAGGACCTCCTCTTCTTAAGATGAGTATGAGAGTTTTGAGACGTGTTGTTCAAATAGGAAATGTCATTATTTAGCTAGGTTTAACTCCTAATAAAAAAGGGAGGTGGGATACTTTGGAGACAGTACAGGATTGGTG